TCCCCTCCCTCCCCGGTGCTCGCTGTCAGGAGCGGGCGGGGAGCCGCAGACAAAGAGCCGGGGCCGGAGCCGAGCGGGCACCGGGGCCAGGAGGGGGCGGCCCGGGGGCGGGGACGCGGCGGGGGCGGCGGCCAGAGGCACCGGGGAGCCGAGCCCGGGCGCGGGGCGGCGGAGCCTCGGGCTGCGCTCGCCGGGAACAAAAGGCTCCTGCTGGCCGCGCCGAGCGCCGTGGCCCGGGCTCCGTGGCACCATGGCCCGCTGCGAGCCCCGCCGAGCCTGGCGGCTGCTGCTGCTGCTGCTGCTCGCTCTCTGCAGCCTGAGCGCTGCGCAGCCCCGCCAGCGCCAGTAAGTACCGGGGACCTCGGGAGAGCATCCCCGGGCAGGGCGGCGGGGGGACAACCGGCTCTGCTCGGCCGGGGCTCCGGGGTGGCCGCAGCAGCCGCGGAACAAAGCCCGCGGAGCGCCCGGATGAGTCGCGGACGGTGCGCGTTTGTCCCCGGCAGCAGCCGCGCGTTCGTCCCCGCCGGTGCGAAAGTGGCGAGCGCGGGGAAAGGGGGAGAAGAGGAGAAAGCTCCCACGCGATACCTGCCTCCAGCTGCTCCGGAGAGCGGCTGCGGAGCTTTTATCTGCAAGCAATTATTTAAGGAATCCGGCCGCCGCGGTGCTGGGGGTGGTTGAAGGTAGCGTTGGGCGCTCCCGAGCAGCGTGTGAAGAATTTTTTTTTTTTTTTTTTTCTTTTTTCTTTTTTTTTTTTTTTTTTGTGGGGAAGAACAGCCCGGGAGAAACTGCGGGGAAAGTTCTCAGACTTTTGGAGTTTGAACCCACAGCTCTTTTCCAGTATGTTTAGGTTAATTTTGATTAAAGTTTGCTTTGTTCTTTATCCCTGGCTTATTATAGCCCGTCAGCATCGTGAATAGCTGCATTAACAGAGTGCCATGGAGAACTTAATTTCACTTGCTTACTCGAAAATATTTCACGTCCTGCCAAGTTTTGGTGTAACCTGACAGAGCTGTTAGTTAAGTGTGCTTAAAGGATCTGCCCGGTCCCTGTCAAGTTAACTCTTTGATTGCCAAGTTCTTTAATTTTCTAATGCCACTTATTAAGTGATTTAAGCAGTTGAATCAAGGGACTGATACTTCAGAAAGAGTTTCAGCGATTCAGAACAATGTRAGTACATGTGCTTCACATCTGGCAGGGTTTGTGACAGTTTAAATCTGATCATTTCATCCTGAATGCAGCTGGTACCCTTTCTCCCTGTGGAACTCGATCGCTATCTCTCTCACCAAGGATTTGCAGGCTCGGTAGTAACTTTTTATTGTTATTTATTACCATTCTGATGAATTTTCAAACCTGGCAGCCATAAGGTTTTGAATCTGCAAGTACCCCGTGCAATTTAACTCGGATGCCACAGAGTTCTGAACTTCCTTTGGGGGTAATGGGATCTCCATGGCAATGAGGCCTGCTGAGAGAGAAACATGGGCTTGGAATTTGATAAAAGATTACTTAGGGGCTGTAAAACACCATCATCCTCATCCCAAAGTGATAATTAATCACAAGCTAAAACAACCTGGCTCGTGGGACCGAGAAAGGCATGGGCTGAGAAATTGGGCTTGAAAAGTCATCTGAGGAATTGCCTCAAAAAAAATCCTTTTGGGGAGGAAAAACAAAACCCAAAAAGGTGTGTCATGGAGGGAATATAAATATGTTGCTTCCAACCCAATGCATCAAAGAGCTCAGAGCCTGCAATGCTTTTAGCTGACAAGTTCATGGCACGGTGCCATTCRCAGAGGAGTGGTGCAGATTCCATTCAGAAATACTCGGATTGCAGCGTCCACGGGAGGTCGTTTTGGGTGGCTTTAAAGCTCTGTGGGTGCCTTCGAAAATAATGCCCTTTGTAAACTTGCAGGGTCTAATTGAACAAAAAAATGTCAGAGTGGAGCTGGGAATTCGAGCCCGGTTTTGTAGCTGCAGTTTCTGGGCTGCTTGTGTATAAACTGGAAGTTCAGGTGTGTCACGTGGGTTGAGTCTGACATTTAGAAAGCTCCAAAAATCAGCTCTGAGTCYCTTCCCTTCTTGTGTATGAAGCTGAACTATGAAAATGGAGCTGTGAGAAATAATTGAGGCAAAAAATATCTCAACTTCTTCTTTTGAAAGAGTTTGCTACAAAAGTCTACCCAAGATTCAAGTACCTCCTTATTCCTTCATGAACTCTTTTGTGATTAGCTGATTGTATGTTTAGTTTGTTACATATAATAGATAAATGAATGTATTTATTATACAGATGAAATAAACATTGATATTACTCCTTTTATATAGATCCTAAGGATTTGTGAGCCATTGTAAGCCACTTTWGGCTCTGTTCATTTATACATTCACACATGTTAGAGAGAGGCTTACACTGCTGGTGGCCACAAATCTGACCATACAGGGGTAAATATATCACATATTTGTCACAAAATAATTTGGTTTTTTCCTTTGCCACCAAATTTGGCTCGCAAATGAAGCCAAGGCTTTTGTGGCTGTGTCTTGACTGACCACTTCCACTTGTTCTCCTCAGGGGTTATCTGATTGCAGCACCTTCTGTTTTCCGCTCYGGGGTGGAGGAAGCCATAAGTGTGACCATCTTCAACTCTGCCAAGGAGACAACGGTCCAGATCCAGCTGGTGGTCAAAGGGGAGACGGTGTCACGAGGCCACGGAACCGTCCTGGGTAAGGCCCTGGAGCCCTGAGCCTGAAAACTGGTTCATGAGCTGAGGTGCTGTGGGAGCACTTGGATATCTCCTAAAGGATTGCTTTAGCTGATAATGGAACTGGAACCAARCTGGTATTTAATTGGCACCCCAGCTGATTGTGCTGATGGGGTTTGATGTGATCCCAGACATGTAAGGCTGATCATTTTGGGACTCCTGGACATGCAGAGACCCCATACAACTGGCACCCTAGAGTTTTATGTGAATATACTTCCTTTTGATACCTGTTTATCACTGGTGGGCTATATAAGAAATGAGATACATTTATTTTAAAGAGAAGTATAAAATCGATGTCATCAGCAGCATGAATTTCTTCTCTCCAAATCGAGTTCTGGGAATGCCATCCCCACATCTTCAGGACTGAGTGCTGCTGAGAGAGCTGATAACGTTTGTGCTGGTGGATAAGTCTTTAAAACCAAGCCAGATTTACCTGTCCTGTGAGCAAAGACTCTGCTCAACACTGAGTGAATTTACACTGGTGAAAGTGAAGTTCTGTTGTACCGCTGTCAGTAGTGGTGGAAGCTGAAGCATAGACAGGTCAATCAGGCTCTTTAATCACCGTGGTTTARCCCTTCTCTGTGTTAAAAAGGAAAGTTTTATAAGAGTCACTCCCTTCCTTGGAACAGATCTTCTCTGGTTGTGTCGTCCCATTGCTGTTTTTGACACTGGCTGACAATTGCAAAGCAATTCAAGGGGAGTGATGCTCTCACATGTGGGCAGCACATGCTCCAGAGAACTCCTAGGTGTGGCTCTATCCAGCAATCCAAACAGATCCTGTGAGTGCTGGTTTTGGGAATTATAAATCCCAAAAGAGGCCAGGTCCTTTTACAGCACAACCCTTCCTGAAACCCCAGCCTTGGTGGTGCTCTYCAACCACAGAGCACTTTGCAGTTTACCCTGGGCAAAAATTGTAAATAAATGTGGCCCAGGTTCATTTTGAAGAGCTCTACGGGGTCTGACTTGTTTTACACAGAGCAGGAAAATTGCTTCAGGTGAAATTGTAACAAAGGGAAACTGCAGGGATCAGCTCTGTGGTGTGAAGTCTCCTTTCACTCCACTGCAAATGGAGTGAAAAAATCTGWGTGCCTTATCTTGAGAATAACTCTCTGTTTCTCTCTCATATTTTAGATAAAGGAACAATTAAACTGAAGGTGAGTGTCACTTATTTTAAATGTTTTTGGTGAAARCATAAGGGACTTTCCCTCGGCCACATTAAGCGTTGATCTCTGGCACAAAAAAATGTCACATTTGGGGCACACACTGAGGAAGAAACAACYTTCACCAGAGGGAAACAACAAACCTTAACCCATCCCAGCTCATCTACCAGCCCCTTACACCACTAAAGAAAAATCAATAGCTCAAAATCAAGTTCCATTTTGGGGTTATTTGGTAAGAATGGTAGTACAGGATCATGTCAGTGAGTGACACGGAGGTTCTGAGTTCAAATGTAGGCAAAGTGGAGCTGGGTTGAAGAACAAGCCCTTCAAAATGCTGGCTTTCTTAACCTGGGATTACTTTGGGCTTGTCATCTTCAGGATGTAAAGGGGGGCGGTGGAACAAAGTATTGGGATTGTATTATCAGATTTTTTACTTTCTCATTCTTATTGGATGTAACTTTAAAATTCTGATTTCTCTGAGCAATGCACATGCATGCACTTCTTGTTTTGAGGACATTTTTGTGGTGGATCTTGGGGTTTTTCCCTCTGTTGGCAGCGCTGTGTGTTGATTTCCCCACATCACACACCTTCCATCCTGGGAGCTGCACGTGCAGATCACAAATCAACTTTTACTTTGCTTGAGTGCTAAAGGGCAGAAGAGAATTTCCAGCATGAATTTACCTCCTTAGAAGCTTATATATTATAGAAGATCTAGCATGTTCCTAATTTTCTTTTCATCACTAACACACAGTTGCACCAAAACACCACCAAAAAAATTGCTTTTTTTGCTCACCTCAGTGACAATTCTACTACCCAAAAGCTTTTCTGTGTCTTCCTCACCTCCTGCTCTGCTTTTTAGGTGCCTTCAGGGCTTCGTGGACAAGCCCACCTGAAGGTGTGGGGCAACAGGCACCTGGCAGAGGATGGTTACATTTTCCACAACTACACCACGGTCACCATCGACAGCAAGGGCTCCTCGGTGTTCATCCAGACCGACAAACCTGTCTACAAACCCAAGCAGAAAGGTSAGCTCACCTTGGAACATTTGCCAGGCTGCTTTCAAGGCGAGCTCCAGGATGAGCTCACCTCAGTCCCAGCTATGGTGATTCATAAATTCCTTCTTTTTTTCCTTTTTTTCAGTGTTGATAAACCTCTTTATGGTGACTTCTGACCTGAGGCCCGTCAATGACAGGGTAAAGGAAACTGCTTTCTTTCACACTGTAAAATATCASGGAACACTTGGTAACCTGAATTTTATCCTAATGTACATTTGTGTAGGAACAGAATTTGATTTTTAATAGATTTGGTTTAAAAAATTGGATTTTAACCTGTTTAAGCATAGGTTTTATTACTTGTTTTATTTGCAATTTAGCTTTTTTCACTCCACTATTTCTATTGGAGGAGAACACAAACTCTTGGAGTGCTGGCAAACAGGAGGCMGCTCTGTCAGTGCAGAGACCAGAATCTTTCAGAGGCTTGCTCTTTATTTAAACAGTGCAGGGATATGCAAATTATTCTTTTTCCAGTTAGGCGTATGAATTAAATGTGTGTTTCTCAGGCTGCTCTTAGCAAAGAAGAGATGTTCAAACTGCCACTTTGGGTCTCACACTTTGCTTATGTTAAAAGTTCATCACAAAAAGCAGAAAGGTTGCTTTGTTTCATAAAGGCTTTTATTTTGATTTTTTTTTTCTTTCAGATTGAAGCTTACGTGGTGGTGAGTATCTGTGTCCATCTRGTCTGTCCTGTGGAGGTTTGTGCAGCCTTTAAAGGAACAACTCTGTTTTTTTTCCAGTCCCTTATTGCTGTTCCCAACCCCAGCCTGTGCAATTATCTCTACCCCTGGGTCTTTAACTGACCTGTGCCTTGTTTAGGGTGCTGTCACCAGCAAATATCTCTGTTTTCCACTTCGCTTCCACAAATCCTGTCCCATTTCTCAGCCTGAGAAGGCTGGCTGAATTCACTGGGGTTTATGACTGTGACAGTCCCACTCCCTCTCCCTTTTCCCTGCAGCCCCACTCCTGCTGGGCTGGCAGAGCAGAGCCACCCTCATCCCTGCCCCCAAACATTGTGACAGTGGCAACAGAAATTGATGGCGAGGGATGGATGCTCTTGACTTCTTTATKAGGTCAATGAGAGGTTCCTTCTGGGTTTAGTTCAATGTTTTCCTTTTTTTTTTTCTTTTTTTCCTTTTTCTAAACCATGTGTTTAGGCGTCAGAAAGCAGAAGGATTCCCTCTTGTTCACCTTCAGCACAGATTTAATGCTGACAAAACCAGCAGGATTTATTTAATCTGAGTTTGTCAGCTAAAAATTGTCGTGCTGGTGGTACAGCTCCCTTTAGGAACAGAGAAAGTGTCTTCAGAGGTCAGCTCATCCCATCCCAGACAGGTGTTTAAAGATGGGCAAAATCTGCTGCTTGACAGCATCTCCTTGTATGCTTTGATTACAGCCTTAAATAATCCCAGAAAGCAAATACCCCTGGTAAAGAATTTTCAGGACATTTTTGTCAGGTTTTAGTACCATTTGAACTGTCAGGGAAGTGTGTTTATCACAAAACAAAGTCCTTTGCTGCAAAYTGAGTTAAGTGTGTTAGTGATGCTCATTTTCACTGCGATGTTTCTCACCCTGAACTGCCCTGCAGGATCCCCGGGGGTCTCGGATGATAGAATGGAATAACTTGAAGCCCTTTTGCTGTGGTAAGTGCCAGAATATTTAATTTTCCCCTCTGTGTACTGTGATTTGCCTTTACTTCTACTTCCACTGAGTCATGTCCAGTAAGGCTTGGCAAGGGCTGAACCCWGAGTTCTCAGTGTTGTTTCCTTTTYCAGGCATTGTCAACATGACTTTCCCTCTGTCTGACCAGCCAGTGTTTGGGGAATGGCTCATCTTTGCTGAGATGCAGGGGCACACTTACAACAAATCCTTCGAAGTGCAGAAATACGGTGAGTCCTCTGTGCATTTGGGAGACCAGAACACTGTGAAATGCTTTCACTTGAGATTAAATACCTGAAATAACACATTTAAAATGCCGTGGGGAGAAATTTTTTAGATTCCCATGTACTTCAGGGATGCAGACACTGCTAATTGGGGGTTTTGCTGAGGTCACCTCACTAAATTTTGCTGCTGGGGCTGATTGATCTCTGCTGGGTGCTGCTGTCACCCTCACTGACCACAACCAGGCTCCTGCCAGAATTGTGGGGTCTTTTCCTATAATCTGGGCAATGAGATCTCTTTGAAAAGATCCTGCTGTGCTTCTTTTCATTGCAGTATTGCCAAAGTTTGAGTTGCTGATCGATCCCCCTCGCTACATCCGTGACYTCTCCCTGTGTGAGAAAGGAACTGTCCATGCCAGGTAGGAGTCTGTCCCAAACCAAATTTCATTGCTGTCATTGTGGTTCAGCCACAGCAGCTTGGGTCCCACCTGCTGCAGACTTTWCAGATGATTTCTAATCATCATCAGAAGCTTCAAAAAGAGCCTTCAAAAACCTGGTAAAAGTAACAATCTGAGAAACTTCCAGTATGCTGTTTTCTAGATGTGCAGGTACTATGGTAGTTGTCCTTATGCAACCAGACAAACAGAAACCTGCCGGAAATTATTAATCATAATAATCTTCTTTGCATTTCAGATACACATTTGGAAAGCCAGTGACAGGGAAGTTAATTGTCAATATGACTATAAATGGTGTGGGGTACTACAGACACGAGGTGGGACACCCTGTCCTCAAAACCACCCAGGTGAGGGAGACCTTTGGCTCACCTGTGATAAAATTCCTGATCTATGTTCTTCAACACCAATTCCACAGCTCTGTTTTGTCTGATGGGAGATGAGGAAATACAGGAGTAAATATTATAACTGGGCCCAGCAGAATGAAAATATTGCTTATTTTTACATGGTATGTTTGTGATTTTAGATATCAGGGATATCTGTCCCCAGAGGGTGCTGGCACTGCCCAGGCTCCCCAGGGAATGGTCCCGGCCCCGAGGCTGCCAGAGCTGCAGGAGCGTTTGGACAGCGCTGCCAGGGATGAACAGGGTGGGGTTGTTGGGGGGTCTGGGCAGGGGCAGAAGTGGATTGATGATCCCTGGGGTCATTTCCCACTCAGGATATTCTAGGATTTGGTAGGATGAGAATTTATTGGCATAGCACTAATCTGGTTTTAGAGCMGATGGGGCTGAGGAGAGCAGGAGACTGAGGGGCTGGGACARAKTTTGTCCAGGCTATGGTTAAGGGAGGAAAATGAAACCCCTTTCCCCTCTCCCTGTTACAGCAATAATTCCAGAAAGCAAATCCCCCTGGTAAAGTATTCTCAGGACATTTTTGACAGATATTACTTRCATTTGAACACTAAGTGAAGTGTGTACATTACAAAACAAATTTTTCCTCCCTTCCTCCGTTCTTCTCTTCCTTTCTCCCTCCTCAATTCCCTCCAACCCTAATCCTTTCCAAACACTGCTACAAACTCCTACCAAGCTCCTGCGTTTTAGCTCCGGCTCCTAGACCCTGCCTGGGTGTGAAATGCCAACTTTCTCTCTTTCTCTTTCCCCCCATGGGCAGATTGATGGCTCTGCAGTGTTTGATGTGTGCGTCAAGGACATGATGCCTGCAGATGTCCCAGAGCATTTCCGAGGCACAGTCAACATCTGGGCCACGGTGATCAGCTCTGATGGCAGCAAACAGGTGACCTTTGATGACTCCACACCTGTGCARAAGCAGCTGATCGACATCAAATACTCCAAGGACACCAGGAAACAGTTCAAACCTGGGCTRCCCTACAAGGGCAAGGTGAGGTTAAGACAGAGCTGTGGATGTGTGGCTGGTTTGAGTTGAGCTGGCTTGATCYCAGCATGCTGGAGCAGCTGGGATCACCTTCATCTCTGCACCCAAACAYTGGGACAGTGGCAGTAGAAATTCTTGTCAAGGGATGGTTGCTCCTGACTTTTCCTTTATGAGGTCAATGAGAGGTTCCTTCTGGGTTTAGTCCTATTTTTACTTCTTTTTTTTTTTTTTATTTAAGCAGAAAGCAGAGTAATTCACTCTTGCTCACCTTCAGCACAGATTTAACACTGACAAAACCTGCAGGATTTATTTAATCTGAATTTGTCAGCTACAAATTGTCTTGCTGGTGGTACAACTCCCTTTAGGAACAGAGAACAAGTGCCTTTCAGAGAAAAAAGTGTTGTGGGGTGGTTTTCCCAGCTGCCATGGGCTGGAATAGCTGATATTGTAAAGCCCATTGTGTCAATGCCCCCCTGTGCAGGTAGAAGTCACGTACCCCGATGGAAGTCCAGCTGACAGAGTCACCATCCGGATCAAAGCAGAGCTCACCCCAAAGGACAATGTTTACACCAGTGAGCTGATCTCCAGGAATGGCCTGGTGGAGTTTGAAATCCCCTCCATCCCCACAGCTGCCCAATACGTCTGGCTGGAGGTGGGTGAAAGCTCTTTATGGGATTAGCAGGTTTTAATGGAACTAATCTTGTCAAACCTGCACTTGGGAGATCGGGGCTGCAAACAGGAAATCGGTGCCCTTCAGCTTCTGGGGTTTGATACAGCAAATGCTGGGTTGTCCCTTGCTGCCAGGAGAACTGATGATCATAAACTGCATGAGAAGATTCCCCTTCAAATACAGCTTATTATGGTTGTAAGGGTCCAATATTTGGGGAGCATTGGGTCCAATATTTGGGGAGCATTGGGTCCAACTTGGGGAGCATTGGGCCCAATACTTGGGTAGAATTGGGTCCAATATTTGGGCAGAATTTTATTTGGGCAGGATTTGGCCCAGCATTTAGGGAGCATTGGGTCCAATATTTGGGGAGAATTTTATTTARGGAGTATTTGGTCCAATAATTGGGGAAAATTTTATTTAGGCAGGATTTGTCCCAACATTTGGGGAGTGTTTGGTCCAATATTTGGGAAGAATTTTACTTAGGGAGCATTGGGTTGAATACTTGGGGATAATTGGGTCCAATATTTTGAAAGAATTTGGTCCACTATTTGGGGAGCATTTGGCCTAATATTTGGGGAACATTGGGTTCAATCTTTGGGGAGAATTTTATTTGGGGAGCATTTGGCCCAATATTTGGGGAGCATTTGGTCCAATATTTGGAGAGTGTTTAAACAGCAGTTGCTGTTTAAGGATGCAAAAAGGTAAAAGCTGGAAGGTATAAAATGGGAGAAAGGAATAGAGATTTAAAAATGCTCAGAAAGCCCATTTTGTTCTACCATTCAGATGTAATTTTTTTTTTTTTAAGACCAAAGTGACAGCAATTGATGGAAAACCTTCTGGAGATCAATATCTGCCCAACTACTTGTCCATCAGCAGCTGGTACTCACCCAGCAAGTGCCACATCCAGCTCCAGGCACCAGATAAACCTTTCCAGGTACGTTGGTTCCCCACTCCATTGTGGCAACAGCTGCTTGGCTTAAAGGATGCTGTTCCAATTAAATTGCTGGGCATTCCAATAAAATTCCAGTTTCTGGGCATTCCTGATTCTGGGAACCTGAGCTGGGATTGTTCCCTCTAAAAAGGGTGAAGGAGCTGCACTTCATCCACCAAATAATTGTTRAATGTGGGCTGCACTCAGTGCTAAGCAACCCCTCTGGATGCTCTGTGMAGCACCTCAATCCCAAACCTTTATGTTCAGACAGAGAGCAGGAAATCATTTTGGTTTTTCACGTTTGAATGTGTGCTCTGTGCCCCTCCAGCAACACTCAGACAGGGATTGTTGGCTGAAAATGAYTGGAAGTGATGTCAGTGGGAGCGGCTGAATAAAAATCAGAATTAAGGCTGTGTGGTCTCACTGGAACTTCCAGTTTAAATCTCAACTGGTTCTGTTTGATCTCCCAGTTATTGAACTATGAACATTATTGCCTTGTCTTCTTTGGTAGTTTTTGTAGGATCCTCTTTAAAAAATGTAATCCTGCCCTGTAAAAGTTGTTGTGATTTCTCCCCTAAAGGACAGATCTGATAAAACCAATATTCCTGCTGCTCAGTGTTTCTGAGAGTTGTTTAGGGTTTCTTCTTACCCAATAAGATGTTCTGAGGGTCTGCATATTGCTCTGTGAAAAAAAAATATTTTGGCAATAAACACACAGAGATTTCTGTTTCCAGCAGGTCCTTCAGGTTGCTTTCAGACTCTTTGTATCCAAATATCCTTTTTTTTTTTAATCATTGCATTTCATGGAAGTTTAATGGCTAATTAATCTTTTACAAGTTTCCTGAGGTATGGAAAGGGGATTATACACTGCTAATCTGAACACATTGTTCTTATTATAACCTGATTAGAACTAATTCTCCTGTGGGAAAGCTTGGGCCTGGATGACCAGCACTGCCAGCTCTTACTGGGTGTTCCAATTAGCTACATCCATTTTTTTTCATGAATTGTTTCATCATTTGCACTGGGGAATTCTTAATACTTCAAATATTTCRTGTCACGAGGCACCTCCTGGACTCTGTGGCATTCTTGCCGTGTTTAACCATCAGCAGCTCCTTGGGTGCAGGCCATGCCCTTTTGGTTTGTGCCATGAGCATATTCTGCAGGGRGAGCACTTGGTGCTGAAAAAAGGAGACTTTTTCCAAAGATTTCTTTGGGATTTTCTATCTACCTGAGCAGTTTTAGTTGGGGATTGCTCTGGTTTGAATGGCAGGAGGTTGAGGAGGGGAAGGTGCTGGAGAAATCCTACAAACACGAGCGTCAGCTGCTCCTCAGATCCCGGGAGGAAGGAGTTTGTGTTCCTAGAAAAATCTGCTGCTCCACAGGAATTATTGTTCAGCCAGACATGACCAGTGCTAATCCCATCACTGAGCCCTGTCTTCTGGGATTTGGGGGATTTTGCCTTTGGGGTGTTCAGTGCTGAGTGAGCCTCTCTGGGTGCAGGGCTCCAGCACCCAGGTGCTCTGCCCTGGAGCCCATTGCAGCCATCAGATGAGTTCACCCACACACAAAAAAAAGAACATTTCTCATTTTTCTGTGTGTTTGACACTTCCCTGAGTGCCAGGCTTACMAACTGTGATCAGGATTTTGTTTTATTTGAAAGCATTTTCCCTCAGATCTCTCCCCAGCTGTTTCATGCCACGCTGGTTATGTTTGAATTGGTGTTTGCCACGTGACTGTAAGCACTGTATAATCACAATTAAACTGCAAAGTCTATCCAACACCCATCCCTTCCCACCCCCAACCCACCCCTTTCCTTTTTAGGGCCGGGCTGCTGCAGGGGTGTCTAAAACCCAACCAATTCTGACAGCTGCTCTGTGCCAAAAGGCTTAACTTCCAGGATTCCAGAGATTCCTTCATTGTTTCATTAAGGCACACAGCCCCCAGCCCGTTCTCCTGTCCGTTTGCAGGGGGYGAGAGCTGCACACAGGCCCCTTTTTATTGTGGAGAAAGTCCCTGAGAGTGCTGCTGATGCAATAAAACCCTTTTTAATGCACACATTTGTCCCACACCTCCCGTGGCCTGGGACYCAAACAGCTTTCTGGGCTTTATCAATCAAAATCATCAGAGCAGAGCGGATCTTTGGCTTTTGTGCCCCTGCCTGCAGGTGGGAGAGGAGGCCTGGATTGCAGTCAAGTCCACGTGTCCCTGTAACTTCACCCTCCACTACGAAGTGGCAGCACGAGGGAACATTGTCCTGTCGGGGCTGCAGCCCAGCAATGTCACCCAGCAGAGGAGCAAGAGGGCCACCGTCCCMTTTGAGAAGAACATCGACCTCACACGCTTCCCAGGAACAGGTAAACAGCACTAGGAATGCATCTCACTCCTATTTTCAGGGAAAAAACACCTTTTATTTTTAATGTGATGCTCCTTAAAGGATATAAGTGACATAGTGAAAGAAAAACAGTGAAAACCGCCACCTTTGGTCACGTAAAAAAAAAATTTCCATGAGACATAACTCTTGGGAAGTTTTACTTTGGTCTTCCTGCAGTCTTTCTCAATTGAGGAAACTCTGATATTTGTTTGGAGTGGAGTGGCAGGGCTGGGACAGTTGGCTGAGCTGGTTGAGCTTGAACTGAGGAGAGAGGATGTTAGATGCAAAGAGAAAATTAAATGGACTGAAATCATGGATCAGGATAGAGGATATCCCACAGGGGGAAGGGAAATAAATGTGGATTCCTGGTTTGTACAAGGAATAACAGCAAGATACAAATTTGGTGCATTTGAAAAACAGGGAGGTGAAAAATGGTGGCATTGGAAAGATGGATGTAAGAGCTGCCAAAGGAAAAGTTTGGCAATTCCAGTAACCAGTTTGGGAGCTGGGGAATCCCAGTAACCAGTTTGGGAGCTGGGGAAAGAGTAACAGGAGCCTCCCTCCATGAACCTCCCAAGCTTCTGGCAATCAGTAATTCAGGATTTGGGGGGGCTCTCTGCACTGGAGGTTGGTTCTAAGCTGCYGCATTTCCAGTTTGCTCAGGGGCTTTGTTGCTGCTCTGTCACTGGCAGAGTTCAAGGCCAGGTTCGTGGGACTCTGGGTGACCTGTTCTGGTGAAAGRTGTCCTTGTCCACAGCAGGGGGCTGGAATCAGATCATCTTTAAAGGTCCCTTCTGACCCAAACCATTCTGTGATTCTGTAAACTGCATCTTCCTTTTCCAAACTCCTTTATTCCTTTTCYCTCGTCAGCGTTCTCCAGCAGCACAGAACATTTTCTGTTTATTTTTGATGGCTTGATAGCTTGTGTGTTTCCTTGATTTCATGGCTGGAAAACCACTGAGTGGCCATTCCCTACCCACCTTCCTCATGCTGCTCATTAAGTTTTGACTGCTAATTACCTTTCACAAAGACGAGAAATAGGGAAGAAATTCTGAGCTCAAGAAGAAAGCATGAGACAGAAACAAGAGAAGAATGGAAGCCGTGTGTGGAGAGCCCTGTGCCTGTCAGCACCAGAATGGGGCAGGAAGGGGGTGATTTGGACCAATAAAGCTGTTTTTCTCCCCAATTGCCTTTGCAGCCCCTCCCAGCACGCCTGCAGCCGAGGTGGAGGTGTGTGTGACCTTCCTGCGCTTCCCCATCGCTCACTCCATGGCTCCCTTGGGCCGGCTCCTCGTGTACTAYGTCAGGGACAATGGTGAGGGTGTCACTGACAGCCTCCAGTTCGCTGTCAACTCCTCCTTYGAGAACCAGGTACGGGCTCTGTGGTGGGGAGGAAGGCCTGGTGTCTCCTTACTCCTTGTTTTATGGGCTAATACCTTGATTTAATGGGATTTCCATTCCCAGGTTACGGTGGCGCTCTCGGCCAACGAGACCAGGCCTGGTGACCTGGTGAACATCAAGGTCAAGGCTGCAAAATCCAGCTGTGTCTGCATTGCTACAGTGGACAAGAGTGTCTACCTGCTCAAGCCAGGCTTCCAGCTGACAGCCAGCCAGGTAGGAGCAGCTTCGAGCACTCCAGGTCCTTTTCTCACYCCTGGGATCCTCGTCCACCTTACAAAGCCTTTGTCCCCAAGGCCAGCAGCTTTTGTCCTCAAGTGTAGCCATCAGCAAAACCCTACAAAACGAGGGTCTTGGCACCCCTGTAAAACTCCTGCTCTCTCCTGTCACTTTGGCCAACCAGAGAAGCATTCTGGAAATGGCTCAGMTAAACTGGAGGTGAAAAAAAAGTTAAAAAACCTTGGAAAACGAGAGATAGAACCTGTGAGAGCTCACACTGTGGTGTGGTGGTCAATTCTGACCATGATGTGTTCATGGCATGATTTATGGTGGTCAGTTCTGACCGTGGCGTGTTCCTGGTGTGATTTATGGTGGTTGGTTCTGACCATGGCATGTTCCTGGTGTGATTTATGGTGATTGGGTCTGACCATGGTGTGTTCCTGGCGTGATTTAGGGTGGTCAGTTCTGACCATGGCGTGTTCCTGGTGTGATTTATGGTGGTCGGTTCTGACCATGGTGTGTTCCTGGCATGATTTATGGTGGTCAGTTCTGACCATGGCATGTTCCTGGTGTGATTTATGGTGATTGGGTCTGACCATGGTGTGTTCCTGGCATGATTTATGGTGGTCGGTTCTGACCATGGCGTATTCCTGATGGGATTTATGGTGGTTGGCTCAGACACTTCACTGTGCTTCACAAGAATGTAAACCCATAACAAACCAATGGGTTAAAAACCCTGGATTTTTGCAATAAACCAATCCCTCTTTCCACCTGCCTGGGGAGGATCTGTGTCATTTCTCATCACCACACCCAGGGCCAGCAGCCTCTGTCCCCAARGCCAGCATTCCCTGCCCTCTCCCCACAGGTGTTCCAGGAGCTGGCAGAGTACGATGTGTCGGACGCTTTTGGAGCCCCAAAGGARGAAGGGCATTTCTGGTGGCCGGGGATGTCCTCCCGCCGGCGCCGCCGCTCCTCCGTCTTCCCCTGGCACTGGGACATCACCAAGGACGCTCGCTTTGCCTTCACGGTAGGAACCATCAGCTCCCTCCTCTCTGCAGTGTTTTCCTTTTTTGTTTTCACATTTGTAGGATAATKTCCAGTTCCCTAGGTGTGGTTCTCCCCACATCAGAGCTTTTTCTCCAGTGGGGGTAGACTGAAAAATAATTTTCAAGACTGGAGGTTGCTGTTGTAGCAGAGATATTTGGTTTCCGTTTTGGCCATTTTGGGAGGGCCAGTTGTCCTGCTGGGGGAAGGGATCCAGACTGCTGCCCTGGAGAATCAGACTAGCTGGGATGTTAATTCTAGGGGAAGAAATACCTGAAATTATTTTTTACCTGGAGCTGCCTGGCAGTCACACTTGCCYAGCAAGTGGATACTGATTTAAAAGCCTTTTCCAGGCAGACAAGAACCTACACAGGCAAAGGCTTAATGAAAATCYTCACATTAGCCATCATTTTAAAATCACTCTTTAAATAATCCTCAAGATCGAATTGAGATTTACCTCATAAATAGGAGAAAATAGTTGAAATAGGATTGAGGGATTCTATTTTAAAAAAAAAGGTGCACAATTAATTATTTTTCTTCTTTTTCTTTCTCTTCTCCTTTTTCTATTCGTCCTTTTTCTCTTCTCCTCCTTTTTCTCTTTATTTTTTTCCCCTTTTCCTCTTTTTTCTCCTCTCTCTTTTCTCTTCTTCTCTTTTCTCTTCTTCTCTTTTCCTTCTTCTCTTTTCTCTCTTCTCTTTTACGTCTTCTCTTTTTTCTCTTTTCCCTCTTCTTCTCTTTTTTCTTTGCTTTTTTTTCCCACTTCTCCTCTTTTTTCTTTGCTTTTTTCCCCTCTTCTCCTTTTTCTTTCTTTCTTTTCCCACCACTTCTTTTTTCCCCTTGCTGATTTTTGTTTTTTGCTCCTGAATTTTTTTCCCTTTCCCAGGAAACTGGCCTGGTGGTGATGACTGACATTGTGAGCTTGAACCACCGGCAGAACGGGGGGATGTACACGGACGAGGCTGTCCCAGCCTTCCAGCCCCACACTGGCACCTTGGTGGCCACCATGCACTCCAAAATAGCCCCCAGGTAACAGTTTGKGGTTAATTTAATTTAATTAACAAGTATCACTTGTCTCTGATGCTCTCAGCTTTTTTTTTTCCTCCATTCTCAGCTGTTTTCCACCTCCACACCCCCACGTTTAGACAAAGCAGTGATGGGGAAACTCTTCCAGTGTCTTGGTTGATGTAACAAAAACTCTAACTGGTGCTGCTTTGTTAAATTTGATTTAATTCTGGAAAAATTAAGTACAAAGGGTCTTAAATGATCATCTTGAGGAATATTTCTTTGCAATTTTCTGTGAATTTCTTGCAGTATTTGTCAATCTCAGCTGTCTTTGCAGAGTCACTCGTTGGTCATTTTTTTGGCCATTCAGTTGCTCAATGCTCGTTGTTTTGGCCATTCAGCTGGTGGTCAAAACCAATCAAATGAGGGTCTGCATTAAGAAAATGTTGTGAATTACTACAAATAATGCTGCACCTGAGGCTGAGCCTCCCCTCTACATCCTGAACCTCCTGGCAAACCCTACCAGCAGAGAAAATCTTTGGATTTTGTTAAGAAATAGATAACAAAGCATTACAGGTGTACAGAAGCTGACTGAATTATTAAAATATTAGAAATTGAGACAATTCAAAGAGAAGGAATGGAGAATACAAAGCAGTGATTGTAGTAACTGCTGCTGGAAGTCAATGTTGTGTTTATGCCCCTTGATTTCATTGGGTGAAAGAATTTGGATGATAAACCAATTAATTTTTTTTTTTAAATTACATCATTTCTGCTGGTTTTAAAGGTTATTTATTTGTACTATTTTTTAGATTCTTATTTCTGTCTGCAGAGTGTGTGTGCACACCAAGGGATGGTTTGAAAAGATCCCATAATTTGTATTATGAGTGAATTTTGWGTTAAGATCACCCACTCCCTCCTTACTTAGTCTGTACCAGGCAGAGTTTTGTCATRTGAGCCCTGGGCAGCTGATAACTCTGATTGATTAATCAGGGACTGCTGGAAATATTTTTTAAAAGAATTCACTTGCAAGGACTTATTTCTTGTTCCAGCAGGGCAGAGAAGAGGAAAAGAACYTTCTTCCCCGAAACRTGGATTTGGCACTGCCTCAATGTCAGGTATTGTCAGGGAGCTCTCAATTATCCAGAGAGGTTTATTCTCTTTAAAATCTGAGTTACACTGGCATTTTCTGATTTTTTTTTTTTCCCTATTCTTGTTTTTCTTCATTGCCACTTTAACCAATAATCTTGGCAATGTTTCATCAGGTCTTGAGGTGTGTTCATGTTGAACTTGTCCATCAATTCTCTCTTGATTGCTTTTCAAATTCCCCAGAGCCCTCCTTCCTTTGTCATCTCCTTCAAGAACATCTCCCCTAAACCTCAATTTACTACGTTATAAATTGTGGTTTCCTCTGGGTACAGCCAGGACTAAAAACCAAACAAAACTAAACAAAAACTAAAAAAGAAAACAAAAAAAACCACAAAGAGAACCAAAAAAACTCCCAAAAAAACCAACAAAAAAGAAAAACAACCCACAAAAACCCACAAAAAAAAATCCACCAAAAAAAAAAGAAAAAATAAAGGAAAAAAATTTACTAAAGCAATAACTAATCCCTCCCCCCAACAGCACATCCAGGATAATTTGAAGCAATCATTAAAAGGCTTCTCCAGGTTTGGAAGTAAACTTCATTCTCCATAAATGATCATAAATGAAATTGGACAGGAACTTGGAGAAAGTGTATTCAAATGTGTTCAATTGAGCACGAAATATGCTTTGTAGGAATACACAAAGAATTCCAGGAGTGCCCGTCTGGGCCTCAGCAAGCTGGGGCAGTTAATTATAAGTGGGAGAGTGCAGAATAAAAAGTTGCAGATTGCATTTTCTCCACTTCATTTCATTAGAAACAACTGAGTTGGAGCATTCCTTCCTTTCCACTCTCTTGAACAGGATGATTTTTAATTTTTTTTTTTTTTTTTTTTTTTTTTYTTTTTWTAATTATAAAGTAAAATCCTGGGAAAAAAGGGGGAAAAAGGGAAAAAAAAAAAGAAACAAAAGCCTAATGTCAACTTCCCAAACCAATTCTAAAAATTCCTCGAGTCTCTAATGGCTGGAAATGAGTGTGTGCTTTGGCTCCCTGCCCAGGAGAGTAAGTGCCCTCATGTGTGAAAATAATGTTAATGCTGGTTATGGGCTGCAGTCCCGGTGGAAAGAACATCAGCTGCAACAAATTGTCCGGTTAAACAGGCTGGGCTGGAGCCAGGACACCCCTGAGCCCATTCCCCAGGGCTGGAGAGAGYGCAGGTATCAGCTCCAGCCGGGGTGGGACCGGGATAGTGAGGAATTAAACTGCCCAAAGGAGTTARAATAACTTTWAGGAGGTTTAGAGGGGATATTTAGRGGAATTGTTGCCTGTGAGGATAGTGGGGATGGAATGGAATTTCCAGAGAAGCTGGAGCTGTCCCTGGATCCCTGGAAATGTCCAAGGYCAGGCTGGACAGGGCTCAGTGCACCCTGGGAMAATGGGAGGTGTCCCTGCCATGGCAGGGGKGCCACTGGATGAGTTWCAGGTCTTTTCCAGCCCAAACCATTCCATATTTTTATCACACAAGTGCATTTCCCAAGGCTTTTCCCTCTGGAGTTTGAACCACATTCACTGGCCAGGGCTTGGAATCTGATCRAACTTAAAACAGGCACAGTGATCTCCAATTTTATTATTTTTATTATTTTCATCCTTTCCTCGCTGTGACAAACACCCAGCCCTGTCCCTGATGGCTCCTGTCATCTTCAGCACTGCAGGCTCACTGAGAATTTTAATTACAAAACATTTTAATTACAAAATTGATTTTTAAATCTATCCAGAGGAGCAAAGGTGCCTCAGTGGTGCCTCAGGTGTGAATAACCCGCGTGTGGTTGTGTGAGCAGCTCTCAGGTGTGTTCTGGGCAGTGAAACAGAGATTTACAGATTGCTCTGAACCCTCCCACTCTCATTTTCCATGCCCCCAAAATATTCCAGAGCTGGCAGCATGTGCTGTGTGTCAGGCTCGGGGGAATAAATATAACCAGAGAGAAAAAAACCTCRGGGTGCACTCACAACTGCACCCATCACGCTGCCAACTGAGCCATGAAACGCCTTTTGTTCCTGTGACACAGGAAATGTTTGCTGCTCCAGGCTGGGCCAAAGCTGCTTTGCAGGAGAGGAATAGCAAAAGAAGAAAAAAATTGAATTTCTATTATTATAAAGCATGGTCTGAAGAAGAAAATTTCTTTTCTATTATTATAAAGCATGGTCCAAAGAAGAAAATGGAATTTCTGTTATTATAAAGCATGGAAGAGGGTACCAGGTCTGTGATATCCTGTTGTGATGTGCACAGGAAAGCTGAAGGTTTGATTTTTAATCATTAGTTTCAGTCCTCATTGGTGGAAAATTATAGGCTTGGAAATTTTCTGAGTCAGTTATTCTCAAACCCAGCAAACCAAAATGTTTCTGAATAGAAACAAGGAATTGCTGAAGTTGATGTTTAGGAAGTTTCCTCGTGTTCAAGCAGAGTCTGCAGTTTGGTGATGGACGCAGGGGACAGTGTGTTCCAGCAAAAAAAAACTTTTGTTTCACCAGCTGTTAAATGAATTATTGTTGAACTGGTTTTATCCAGGATTTCAGTCTGGGATTATTTCTTGTCTTTATTTTTGAGGGTTTTTT